TTAAATTAAATCCTTTGCAACTATACTTACATTTGAAAATATTAAATATTAGCTAAAAACACATGGGGGATCTGGGTTTATTTTCTTTTATGGATTTTTAAAATTGACTAAAATTCATATAACATAAAATTAACCATTAACTATTTCAAAGATTACAATTCAGTGACATTTAGTACATCCACAATGTTGTACAACCATGATCTCTTATTTCTGAGACATTTTCATCACCTCAAAAGGAAACTCTGTACCCCTGAAGCAGTTACTCTCCATTCTGTCACACCCCCCGCACCCCGCAACTGCTTGTTTGTTTTCTGTCTTTATAGATTTATTTGTTCTGAACGTTTTGTATAGGTGAAATCATGCAGCATGTGGCCCTTTCTGTCTGGCTTCTTTTGCTTAGCATGTTTCAGTACTTTGTTCCTTCTTATGACTGAATAATATTCAATTGTATAAATACACCACATTGTATTTGCTCATCAGTTGATGACATTTGGGCTGTTTCCATCTTTTCGCTATTGAGACTGGTGCTGCTGCAACAAACATGCCTCTACAAGGTGTTTGTTTGAATACCTGTTTTCAGTTCTTTTGGGTACACAGTATTCCCCCTTTCTGCTATTTCAGTTATTCTTGGTCATCCATGGCCTGAAAATATTAAACAGAAAATTTCAGAAGTAAACAATTTCTAGGTTTTCAATTGCATGTCACTCTGAGTGGTGTGATGCAACCTCTCCCTGTCCCACTCTGTCCTGCCTGGGACATGAGTCACATCTTTGTTCAGCGTATCCACACTGTCGATGCTACCCATCTGTAAGTTACTTGGTAGCTGTTTTAGATATCAGATCGACTTCATCACATTGCAGAGCTTGTATTCAAGTAACCCTTACTTAATGGCCCCAAAATGCAAGAGTAGTGATGCTGGCATATTATTATTGTTCTATTTTATCATTATTGTTAATCTCTTACTGTGCCTAATTTATAATTAAACCTTATCATAGGTATGCATGTATAGGAAAAAAACATGGTGTACTATGCACGATTTGGTACTATGCACGATTCCATGTATTCACTGTGGGTCTTAGAACCTGTCCCCTGGGGATAAGGGGGGACTACTATATACTTAGCAGTGGAATTGCTGGTAATTTTATGCTTAACTTTTTGAGGAACCACCAAACTTCCCCACAGCGATTGCACTGTTTTACGTTTCCACCAGTGATGCACAAGGGTTCCAATTTCCCCACATTCTCCACAACTCTTGTTATTTTCCATTTTAATTATGGCTGACCTAGTGGGTGTGAAATAGTATTTCTCTCTTTTTTTTTTTCTGAGACAGAGACTTGCTCTGTTGCCAGGCTGGAGTGCAGTGGTGCGATCTTGGCTCACTGTAAACTCTATTCCCCGGTTCAAGCGATTCCCTTGCCTCAGCCTCTGGGCAGCTGGGATTACAGGTGCCCACCACCACGCCCAGCTATTTTTTTTCTTCTATTTTTAGTAGAGATGGGGTTTCATTATGTTGTCTAGATTGGTCTCGAACTCCTGACCTCAGGGAAGCCGCCCACCTTGGCCTCCCAAAGTGCTGGGATTACGGGCGTGAGTCACCGCGCCCAGCCTCTGTTTTGGTTTTGATTTGCATTTCCCTAATGACTAATGACATTGAGCATCTTTTCATGTGTTTGATGGCCATGACTACCTAAACTAAATTTTTAATGAAACTGTTTTAATTGGTATGAAAGCAAAAAAAGGTTGCAGACCATGGCTTATAAGTGAGAACATGCGGCATTTGGTTTTCTGTTCCTGTGTTAATCTGCTTAGGATAATGGCCTCCAGCTCTATCCATGTTGCTGCAAAAGACATGATCTCATTCCTTTTTATGGCTGTGTAGTATTCCATGGTATAGATGAACCACATTTTCTTTATCCTGTACAATGAAATTTGAATGCCAAAGTGAGTCCCTTGCACACAGTGAATGTTTCCCATACTGGTTTGTTAGTTTGTCATGACAACCAGAAGGGACCTTCTATCCTTGCAGATATTCTTTAGTGAGAGTTCACTGGGAAAGACACTTCTATGTCAGGCTGGAGGAAAGTGAGGGAACCAGGAAGCATGTGGGCAAATGGATTTGTGGCTGGCCAAAGAGTTGTGAAAGTAAGAAAGGAGAGTCTCCAGACTCTAGGAAAGCAGGGAACACCGTGAGTGGCAATCTCCCCAGGTGCATTGCTAGATCACTGGGTAGCATCCTACTCCTATATCCCTACGTGCTCCCTAACACGGAATGTGGTGCATAGTAGGTACAGGTGTCTGTTGAATCAGGCTGGTCACTATTGATCTCTGTCCTGTGATGGCTCTGTCGACTCCCCCTTGTCTCCTTGATAGGAATTAAGAAGTAGACATCTTGGGTGCTGCTCCTACTCTGCCCTCATCCCTGCCCATCTCAGTCTGACATCCTCCATGTTTCCGCATAAGTTCCTATCAGTGTGTCCCTTGGATCACTAGTTTTAGTGCTAAATATCCCCGATACTTTTGATTTCATTATTTCTAGAAATCCTCTTCTTCCTTGTCATTTCTATTATGTTTGTGCTACCTATAGGCTTGGCTGTGTTTGGGATCCTAGAATCACACCCAGTCCTCTGTGGTAAAGAAGAAATTGTGAGACTATGGCATTTTTTTTTTCTTTTTGCTGATAGACCTTTACCGCAGATGTTTTGTAGGTTTATCTGGGGTTATTCACTGCCTCTAAGGCTCCTCTGCAGAGGGTATAAGCCTGCTTGATAGCGTTTTGAGAGCCAGGTGGGAGAATGGGGCTGGGGCAGTGGAAAGGCCTTGTGATGTTTGTCTGTTCAGCATGTACACTTTTAATCATCTCCGTGTTTTAAATCCACTGTCTCCATCTGGCCCTCTGCTGGTTTTTTCCCCAGAGAATAAAGCTCCTGTATTGCACAGTTTGGGAGGAGAGGTGTCTGGCCTTTGTAGGTGGAAATGAGATCGGCGGGTCCAGTTGATCCTTATACATCTGTCACATGGCTCGCCTCTGCCTTGTGAAGTCTCTGATGCCCGATCCCTGAGCCTTTCCACTGGGTGAATCAGCTTGCTTCCTGGTATCACCCAAACTGTGTGAACATCTCTCATCTGCATTTGTCTCCTTTCTCACTCTCTTGTCCTTGTGAATCTGCATCCTTTTTGTCCTTTAAGTGTCATGTTATGGGGCTCAGGAAATGCCCGTGTTCATTCCACTCATATCTAATATGCAACTATTCCTTAAAATCAAGTCCATGCAATGTAATATTCTGCAGCTGTTATGGGAATAACATATATCTACATGTCTGGACATGCTAAGTGGGTAGTATAAAGCGTTAAGTGAAAAAAGCAAGTTGTAGGTTGGCTTGTATAATACGACACTATTTGCATTACAAATTTTAAATATTATCTATAAATACACATGTGTATACACATATAGTATATATATATACACATATATAGAAAGTAACATATATTTTCCTAGCATTATCTGAGATAATATAAATAAATGTCAAAGTACATATGGAGAGCTAGTGGAATATTTTCAGGTAGCCAAGATATTTAAATATTTCATATAGCCTGGACTGGGCCAGGCGTGGTGGCTCATGCCTGTAATCCCAGCACTTTGGGAGGCTGAGGTGGGAGGATCACTTAAGGCCAGGAGTTTGGGACTAGCCTGGGCAATATGGTGAAACCCTGGCTCTACAAAAAAATTTAAAAATTAGCCAGGCAAGGTGGCATGCACCTGTAGTCCCAGCTACTTGCAAGGCTGAGACAGAGGACTGCTTTAGCCCAGCAGGTCAAGGCTGCAGTGAGCGGTAATGGTTCTCCAGCCTGGTCAAAGAGTCTCTCTCTCTCTCTATATATATATATATATGGGACTGATTTAAAAGGCTAGGCATTCTGGTGAATGTAAAATTAACTCTGAGGGTCATGCAGCCTGGGAGCATCATTCACATTGTGTTCTATATGCCTGCTTCGCCCTAGAGTTTCACAATCGCAGTGGCCCTTCCTGGGAGGTCCCCAGTGGGAGAAGCTGTCATTCTGTGAAACATTAGGGAGTGTCCATTTGCAAAGGAGTTGCTTCTGTCACATGTAATTCCGAGTGACCTGTGCCCCAGGATGTGTGTGTTTCACTGTGGTTAATGATCCTCTTGAGCTATGCCAGGGAGGCCAACTCACAAGGTGAATAATGACAGCTAGACTTCTATTTACAGAGATGCCAATTCTAGCACGTTGTGGGAAACCTAGATTTTCTCATGAAAGCAACTAGCTCTTCCTTCCTCCAACCACCCTCACCTCCCAAACAAACAACTCCCATATCAAACAAGAAGAAATGGAAAATTTTCAGTTCAAGCTCAATGGCACGAGGTTGAGAGGAATTTAGCCACATAATTGAATGTTCTCTAGGAACAGGTCTCTAGCAGTGGTTCTCAAGCTTTATTGCATAGTATAATCACCTGGGGAGGTTTCAAAAATCCCATGCCCAGGCCGAATGCATATGGAGAGTTGTATCTTTGGACAGGGTTTCTCCACGTTGGCACTATAGACATTTGGGAACAGATAATTCTTTGCTATAGGAGCTCTCCTGTGCACTGTGGGTTGTTGAACTGCACCCTTGGGCTCTACCCACTAGATGCCAGTAGCACACTTACCTAGTTGTACTGACCAAAAGACATATCCATGTATTTCTAGTAGTGGGGCAAATCACCTAGTTGAGAATCACTGTTTTGCGGGGTGGGTCCCAGGCACTATATTTTTTTTAAAAAAACTTCCTAGGTGATCCCAATATGCAGGCAAGTTTGAGAACCAGTGCTCTGATAGATTTTTCCCTTCAGAAGCGTAGCCTGGTGGTAAGTCCCAGACATTTTGGAGTACGTTTTTATAAACTGTGATATAATATTGATTCAGTAAGAACGGATATATTCTGAGCCAGATGAGTGGATCCACTCATCCTATCTAGTAGACATCTGTTTCTTTCCATCAAGGGCAGTATGGAAAACAAACAGGCTGTGAACAACTTGATGAGCCAGATGAAGGGTGTCATGAGCCAGATGAGCTTATAGAAGACAGAGAACCTTTACAGCGAACAAGGTATGCAAACTAATGAAAGGCCTAAGCAACACTAGAAAACCACAGGGGGTACGTTATTGGTGACAAGATAATGTCTATCACTGACTGGAGGTCCTCTGTGGATCAAAGTCTTCTGCTAGAGAATCTATTTACATGTCATCAAATAAGAAGGAATCTAAGTTAATAATAATAGTAGTAGTAATAATAAATAGGGCTGATGTAAAGAACACGCATGTCAATACTTCTGAAACATGCTTTAACCTTAACTGTTGTATATAAGCACTTACGTAATTTGAGTGCTTCTCAGTCTCATTGTGGCAGGAATTGTAGATGGGCTCACGCAAACCCCCCCCTTCCATCTTCTTACTACTATGGAAGCAAGAAAGTAAAAAAACTTCCCTTCCAGATTCTTCTGCTGTTAGGAGCAGCCATGTGACATAATTTTGGCCATTAAGAATGTAAGCTCTATGAGGACCAGGGTTTTTTTATTTTTTCTATTTTGTTCTCTGCTGGCCAAAACTCATCACATTGTACACTCTAAACATCTCTGGTCTATTGTACATTAATTTTAAACCCAATAATGTACAAAATTAAAGAGCAATTGTTAAGAAAATCCAAAGGCAAATTACAAATTGGAAGGAAACATTTTCTTGGCCCTGAAGGAAGTTGAGGTAAGGATCCTGAGGCACTGAGACCCTGTGCTTAAATTTCAGGTGAATTGCAGAGCTAGCTGAAATTTATCCTGCTGACACCAGATGTCACCATTGTGCTATGTAAATGTAGCTGCTGTTCAGAGTGCTGTTTAATATTCAGGATAGAGTCAGGCTCTTCAAATGGTTGAAGATTGTTAATTTTTATTCCCTCTTGATGCCAGAATATGGACTGGTTCAAAAATGATGACACTAATAATGATGGAGGAGGGCAAAGATCACCTGGTGGCCATCAAGCAGACCATCCGTAGGCAAAACTCCTTGTCTGAGGAATTAGGAAGTAATTAGACTTCCCTATTATCTAAAGCTGGCCTCTGGTACCAGACTTCTTCCCCCTAAATTTATAAGTAACCAGGAGTTCTATACATCTCCGAAATCCATGCACGTTGAAACTCTAGCACCTAATGTGGTCCAAATTACCCTTAAGCTCCTGCTTTAAGGTCCATAAATACCCCTAAGGAAAATCCACCAGCACGCTCAGTCCTGTCTTGCTGAAGTGCCCCACTGCACTCTTCTGCAGTGCTTTTCTATCTAATAAAACTTTCCTTTTCAAATCTATACTGTAAATTCTTTTTTATCACCTGTAAGCCAATCACTTTCCATTGCCGGGGCTCTGATACCTCGCCTGGCAGGGATCAGAGAAGTTTGTACAAGGAGCAACAAATAAGATAATTCTACCCAGTGTGAGACCACATTTACATTATTAAAGCAAATAAATATGCAAAAAAGATTCAAGCTATTTTGGAAAAGACCTAAAATTAAATATTTGAGATGAAGTAGGCCGGCCGCGATGGCTCACACCTGTAATCCCAGCACTTTGGGAGGCCGAGGCAGGTGGATCACGAGATCAGGAGTTTGAGACCAGCTTGACCAACATAGTGAAATGCTCTCTCTACTAAAAATACAAAAATTAGCCAGGCACGGTGGTGGGCGCCTGTAATGCCAGCTACTTGGGAGGTTGACACAGGAAAATCACTTGAACCCAGGAGGCAGAGGTTGCAGTGAGCTGAAATCGTAGCACTGCACTCCAGCCTGGGTGACAGAGTGAGACTCAGTCTCAAAAAAAAAAAAAAAAAAGATGAAGTAGGGCATAACATTGCAAATCACTAACTAGATGCAAACTTTGGGTGTGCTTGGGGAGAAGAGAAGACGGAAGAGAAAGATCTCAGGAATGAACAAAGAAGCTCAAGGGAAAAGTAGCTCAGAACACCACCAATGACAATCAAGTAAAATAAGAAAAAGTATGAGGATGGTTAATTACTACTTCAAGGTAACAGGCTTGGGAGGGAGAAACAGATTAAAATGGCATGTTGAAATTCTGAATGAAGTTGCTAAGACACTTGAACAAAAACACAGTAAATTCACAGAATTGCAGAACTTTGTGTGCAGAGTGAAAATATGGGAAGAGAACAGTGCTAGCACACTGCATTGGGCTGTTCTTGCCTTGCTATAAAGAAATACCTGAGACTGGGTAATTTATACAGAAAAGAGGTTTAATTGGCTCATGGTTCTGCAGGCTGTACAGGAAGCATGATGCTGGCATCTGCTCAACTTCTGGGGAGGCCTCAGGAAACTTACAATTATGGCAGAAGGTGAAGGGGGAGCAGGCACATCACATGGAAGGAACAGGAGCAAGGGCAAGAGACAGAGTGAGGAGGAGCCATATCCTTTTAAACAACCGGATCTCAGGAAGACTCACTCACTATGGCAAGGACAGCACCAAGGGGATAGTGCTAAATCATCATGAGAACTCCACCCCTATGATCCAGTCACCTCCCACCAGGCCCCACCCCCACCACTGGGGATTACATTTCAACATGAGATTTGGGCAGGGACAAGTATCCAAACTATACCAAACACCATCTTTAGAAAACAAGGCACTGGAGCCCAAACTCCACACATGCTAACTCTCCATGAACTGCCAATATGTTCAAGGAGCCACTCACTCTCTCACTTGCAGGTCTAGCATCCAAATCTGCACATGATAGGGATCTTCCACAAGACAGGAGCATGAAAAAGAAATGTAAGAGATAAAAAACAAGAACGTATAAAAATAAAAGCTAATGTACTTAGCTCAGAACAAAGAACTAAAAACCAAGGTGTCACTTTGGTCTGAAACTTTTTTTTTCTTTTTTGATGGAGTTTTGCTCTGTTGCCCAGGCTGGGGTACAGTGACGTGATCTTGGCTTACTGCAACATTCACCTCCTGGGTTCAAGCCACTCTCCTGCCTCAGCCTCCTGAGTAACTGGGACTACAGGCGCACACCACCATGTCCAGCTAATTTTTATATTTTTTATTAGAGATGGGGTTTCACCATGTTGGCCAGATTAGCCTTGAACTCCTGACCTTAGGTGATCCGCCCGTCTCGGCCTCCCCGAGTGTTGGGATTATGGGCATGAGCCACTGTGCCCAGCTGGTCTGAAACTTGTAGGACAAAGATATGTAATGAAATCTCTGCAAGTGAGCTGACCAAAGGCCCTTCCTCCTGTTTGGTGTTGATTAGATTCCAGAAGATTTTTTTGGGGGGTTGTTAGATTCCTGTAGCTCATTTTCATTTTATTTCACCTTACTATATGAATGTTCTCTGTCAGTAGGCCAAATCCTGAGGATAAATTATTTCAAAGGATCATCTTGGAATCAGAAGAAAACTATTTGGTAAATTTCTGTTATAATACACTTAATCTGATTCCAGTGCTGAAGGGCCTAGTCTAGGGTTTTCAACTCTAACTTTTTTGTTTGTTTGTTTTTTTGAGAGACAGAGTCTCGCTCTGTTGTCCAGGGTGGAGTGCAGTGGTGTGATCTCAGCTTACTGCAAACTACACCTCCCAGGTTCAAGAAATTCTCCTGCCTCAGCTTCCCAAGTAACTGGAACTACAGGCGTATGCCACTTCGCCCAGCTAATTTTTGTATTTTTAGTGGAGATGGTGTTTCACTATATGTTGGCCAGGCTGGTCTCAAACTCCTGACCTCAGGTGATCGGCCTGCCTCGGCCTCTCAAATCAAATCTTACTTTTTAATAGAGGCTTTTACTGGTATAAGCAGAAGAAAAAGAAAACCATTTTTCTAATACTGTTTGATTTCATTTTTTACATTTAAACCTACCGTGATAATTTATTTAGCTGTTAAAAAGTCTTAGTTTTTCATAAACTTCCATAATTTTATAAAACTTAGTTATCTTCCAAAGTTAATTTGGAAATTAATTTTACACCCCAGAATGCTATTTCCAAGTGAATTAGCATCTAGGTGGTGGTTAAGTCCCTACGTGGAAATGAAAATCAGTTTTTCCATAATGGAGCAATTTTGTTATATGTATATGTCAGTGCAACAAAACAATTACAATGTTAGCAAATACCAAGTAAAAAGTTTCTTCCATTTCTTTCTCTTTATTAAGACAGCAGGTATAATGCAAGAGAAATTAATTACAATATAATGCAAGTTCTATACATGTAAATATTTTTTGTCTATTTTATTCACTGCTTTATCCCCAGAACCATACTTGGCACATAACCAGTAAAATCTTGATAAATATTTGATGAATAGATAGCCATTGGAGAATTAGGAGTTTATTGAAGATGTTATGGAGGAGGCCTCCTGGGAATGTCTAAGGGCTTTAAAACTTGATCTCTTAAACTATGGTCATTAATAACAAAATACAGAGAAAGCCAAAGGTTGGTTAATGGATACAAAAGGAGAACTAGATAGCAGGACTGAGTTCTATCTTTCTAAAGCATAACAGAGTGATTATAATTAACAACAATTTATTGTATATCAAATAGCTAGAAGAGTGGATTTTTAATGTTCCCAGCACAAAGAAATGATAAATGTTTGAGGTGATAGATATACTAATTACCTGGATTTGATCATTACATAGTGTATATATGTATTGAAATATGACACAGTATCCCATAGGCATGTACAGTTATTATATATTAATTAAAACTAATAACAAAAGCAAAAATATAGTTTTCCATTCCACATTCAAGTTTTATCTCTAGTTCGTCTACCATAATTACCCATTACCAAGGTCTTTTTTTTTTTAATCCAACACATTTAATGAAGAGGCAGAGAGGGAGACTGAGTTTTCTGAGAATATTTAGTAAATATTGAAAAAGAGAAAAGGGAGAACAAAGATGTTTAAGAAGAGTGTGCAAGGAGCCCCTAGAGTTGGATTTGAATAAAATAAAATCAAGCTCCTGGATCAAACTACCAACTCATACTAAGCTTGGTGGGGAACAAGGCAAGATGTTAAATAACACCACAGCCAAACACAGAATGGGAGAAATTCTGTAGGACAAATAACCCAGTGTCTT